TTTTTATTGATTTTTTTTTTTTTTTTTAGAGAGAGAGGAAGGGAGAGGAAGAGAGAGATAGAAACATCGATGGGCTGCCTCCTGCATGCCTCCTCCTGGGGATCGAGCCCACTACCCGGGCACGTGTCCTGGCCAGGAATCGAACGGGCGACCTCCTGGCGCACAGGACGTCGTTCGAGCAACTGAGCCACGCTGGCCGGGCTCAACTTAATTTTTTAAAGTCTCTATTTTAAATAAGTTTCTCTTCCAGACTTGATCATGACTCAGACCAGAAGACAAACCAAACTGTTTAATGTTCCTTAAACTATGAGGCCATTTTAGCCCCTTGAATAATTCTGCAGTAGGACACCGTGGCTTGGGGGAGGCCAGCGGCCCCAAAGCCAGTGGCCAGGAAAGGAAGCGAGGGGGACAAGCACCGAGCCCTAACCCGGGGCCACCGGCACCCTGTGTCCCGGGGCTGGGATGGAGCCGGTGTTTGTGCCATTTATTTAGCATCTCCTAAGGCGCCCTCTACCTTAGTGCTAACCTGAGCTAGGTTCTGCCTAATGTTCGTAGTCAGCAGTATTAGTGGAGGGAAGGCGTGCCTGGCACCCTCTGGTTCAGGGGGTAAATGTTTTTGACGTTTGCACTGGGTGTCAAGCTTTTCCAACTGCAGCGGAGACGAGACTTTCTGCTTGGTGGTCTTTGTCTCCGACCCTGGGATTATGTCTTCGAATAAATTTCCAGCTACGTGGGCAGCTCCTCCGGGGGTTCTCTGTCTCCCTGATGGGGGAGGGAGCTGACCCCCCCCCGTTCAGCCCGCCCTCACACGTGGCCTCGTGGCCTCGGTCAGGGCCGAGGCTGCCTCCGAGGGGACACCCCGACCCTCGCTCCCTGCGCTGCTCTCTCCCGACACACGGGCTGCTGCCCGGCGATCGCTTTACTTGATTTTACTGGGAAGAGCCGAAGACTCGAGTCAGCCACTCGCCCACCAAGGTCACCAGCGAGTGGTAGCGAGGCCGGGTCAACACACACGGCATCGGAAGAGTTAAAGTTCTGCCGTCCCAGGAAACGCGCCCAGAGCCTGGGTCGAGCAGATCGCTGTTTACAGATATGAACTTGTCGCTGATATTTCTTATCTGGTGAATGTTTGCAGGACGGAAGCGCGGGCTTCTGATGTGTTTCTTTGAAGGGGTTTTCTCAGGGCTGTTCCCAATCATTGGCTCTTGAGGATCCTGCCAGAGCTCTTTCAAGTGACAGTAATATATGAAACCATGCCCGCCCCCTACCAGATGGACCCAGTGAACCCCTCGTAGCTTCCCCTCTGGGGCCAAGGATGGGGACTCCTTTCCCAGGATTCAGGCAGAAACAGAACATGAGTCAGAAAAAGAGCCCGGCCGGTGGGGCTCGGCCGTTGAGCACCGTCCTGTGCAGCGTAAGGTCACAGGGTCGATTCCTGGTCAAGGCACATGCCAGGGTTTCAGGCTTGACCCCCAGTAGGGGATGTGCAGGAGGCAGCCGTTTCTCTCTCCCTCTCCTTTCTCTCTCTCTAAAAATCAATAAAAACCCCAAATTATTTTTTAAAAAAAAAAAGAAAGGAGAGAGAAGGAGGGGCCGCTGGCTCGGGACCCTCGGGTTTCCTGAAACGTGACTGTCTGTTCCGCAGCAGGCGGCCCCTCTCTCGCCCCCCCCCCCC